AAAACCTTCTCGAATAATACCTCTAGGACTCTTAAAAGACTAGAACGCCCCTAGCCTTGGCCTCTGAAAATTCTATAATTGAGTAATTTAGAACAGGGCGTTACAGATACACAATGCGTCCCAGGCCTTGAATCAATCCAAAGAAAGGGTGGGGGTTCGTAATCTATGGTGGCTACAAGTAGCACATGGAGAATAGGTGTGACATGTGATTTTTAGATAGATAAACCCTAATAACGAACTGAAACAAGCCCTCATCTGGTTACGAATCTCTTATTTGATTTGAGTTAAACGTGATTTAAACTTTATAGCTCTAATTGAATCAAAACAACTAATTACAAGATTCTCCAAGCAGAATTCAACTGTTGATTTGAAATGTATTAAAAAAAATAACATAATTAAAGAAAAAAGCATATACCTAGTCGAATGGGGAGTTCTCGTGTGGTTGGAATTAGGAGGAAGAGAGAAGAACTGCTAATCCATGACGACGCTGATGCAGCAGGAACGATGGTAACTGGTAGAGCAGGGGCGATGGTGTGAGTTGTTGTGTCGATTGTACCGATTGTTTGGATCATTTCTTAGGAGGGGGGATTAGAAAACGAAGCAAGGGGTAAATTTTTCTATTTGTAAAAAATTGATGTGTATGTATCAGACTATCAGCTTCGTATTTTAGGGGATTAAAAACAAAAAGGTATACATACTAATTAAGACGGTAAAAAGATAAAACATAAGGATAACAAAGTGAAGATCATGGAATTTTTGGACCAAAATTGTAATTTCCGTAAAGATTAGGGACCATTTTATGATTTATTCTTATTGTTATAATAATTTCATTATATAATTTTTTCAAAAAATAAAACTTTTAGTGGCATATTAAAACATTATGCCACTAATAGTTATGAATATTAGTGACATAAAATGTTAAGTGCCACTAAATCCTCTAATTTTAATAGTGACACATAGAATATGCCACTAAAAACATGATATAGTGGCACATCATATATGTGTCATTAAAAATATATGCCACTAAATAACATGTTGTTTGTAGTGCGCCTTGCTGTTAAAACCAGAACTGAAATTAGATTTTCTCTAAGAGATGGGGAAGTGGAAATCGGAACTGAACTCCAAAGGAAAAAACGGGGAAGAAGAAATCAAAACTTTGCTGTTTTTTGGTATCTTAATGATTTTGATCGAAGGTATTCAACTGGTAAGTTGTTGTCAATCAATGGATGATGTTGTGACTTTTACTGAGTAGTGGGGTGTGTGTTGGTTCATCGATGATGTTGTAGGGAAGGTTTGTCGTCAATATATAAGGGGGAAGCATCAAGCATTGGCGATACCTGTATGATTGTCATTCGATCCAGAAAGAAAAACGGGAAGATGGTAAAGGTTGAGAGAGAAATGGGTTTGGTGGACCCAATTTGACATTCATTTTTTTAATTAAAATCAATTGAAATTATATAAGAAAAATCTGAAAGAAATTAAAATGTAAAAAGGTCATTTCATATGGTCTAGGACCAACCTTGTATGTTTTAGAAACCATAGGGACCATTCGTATCAAACAAATTAGTAGGGACTAAAGTTGTGATATTTCGTAAAGCACAAGGACCATTTATATAACTTTGTCAACTATAAAATCGTGCAATGCAAACCGGTTTTAAGACTAATAAACCGGAGACAGCGGTTACCCCGTTCATTGATATACCACTATTCTCCGCCATTGTCATGCACCAACTTCCAACGGTCCATAAAAATCCATATTTTTCTTCCCTCCGCCATGGGAATCGGTGGATTTCATGAACAACAACAACCACCATACACGTCGGGTACAAAGTTTACACAGTCTCTTTCTCTCTCATACTTTCGGATTCTAGGATCTGAAAAGACGCCCCAAATTTTTGGCGGGAGAAATGGGAACGAGCGAAGGTGGTGGTGGATCGTCGGGAAGTGGAGGAGATAGTGGACCGGAGGAGAAGAATGTTGGTAGTAGTCGCTCTAAGTTTGAACACTCCGGATGGGTTTATCATCTGGGCACCAATTCCATCAAACGCGAATCCTGTAATCGTCGATTTCTACATATTAAGGGAAAATACGTGATGATGTATAAGCGCGATCCTCATGAACATTCAGGCACTGTATGTTTTTACACAATCTCGTATTCTATAATTCTTTTCACCCCATTTTCATTCATTTCCTTACATCCTGATCATATACACACATTGTAGCCATTGTCTAGGGTTCGAATTTCGAAAACAACATATTTGCATTATTTTTGCGTTAGGGTTTCACTTGTTTCTGCATTCAATTAAACCCATAAAAGGATTAAATCATTGTTAGTAAAGAACATATATTCATGTTAGCATGTTCATGCAGAAACCAATACGAAGGGGTGTTGTTGGCCACACACTTAAGCTGGAGGAGCTAGGATGTCGGAAAGTCAATGATGGTGTAAGCACCTTAAATTCTTAAACCATGTTCCTTATTTGCTAATAATTTGACCTTTTTTTATTAATTTCTCTTGTCTATAGCTGTAGATTGTAATTCAAGTTATCAATTGAAGTTTACGTGTCTGCTTTAAATTTCATATTTTCAGGATCTTTATGTTTTGAAGTTCTCCAATCGACTAGATGAGGAGAAAAAAGGAGAAGTAAGTTACACTTACACATTCTAACTTACAAGAGTACAATTATAGGGTTAAAGACAAGAAATAGCTACACACTTTCATATGTTTATTTATTATCGCATCCTACTTTATTTCATCTCATTACAACATTGTACTTCAATTGTCTAATAAGAAAAAAAAAATGAAAGTACAATGTCATAATATCCAATTTGCTTCATAATGTGTTTGCAAGATTGGTTGTGCTACAGCTGGAGAAACCCGAAAATGGATGGAAGCATTAGAACAAGCAAAGAAACAGGTAACAGATAATTGCAAACTTTACTACAAATATTTCAATATAATAAAATCATTTCATATTTCTTATTTAATAGGCCGAATTAGAGCTTTCTCAAACCTCTAATACAAGAAACAAATTAAGCAAGGAGAGCGAGTATGTTAAAAACACACATTTCATTTTTATTTAATTATTTTCATATAGAGTCTTCTCCTTATATATTTATGTCTCACTATTTTATTTATTTTGTAAAGGATTGATCTTGAACGACAAGGTCCTCGCAATAGGGTAAAGCGATACGCTAGTGGTCTAAAGAGGCTCATAAGTATAAAACGCGGTATGCTTTTAAAAAAAATGACGTTATTACCCCTTACATGATAAAAAATTATTTTTTCATTCCTTCATTTTTTTATAGGCGAGTCACTTGTTCGTAGATCATTAAGCTTGAGTGGAAGTAATAAGAATGTTGAGTTCTGTGAAGGCGATGTTGCTGATGTCATCGAAGGGCATGAATGGAAATGTGTTCGCACACTCCGTGGTACCCTAGAGTCTCTTGAATAGTGGATTTACAAAAATTTCAAATATCGAAAATCTTAATTGATCATATGTTGGATTTCAGGTGTCAGAATCTTTGAGGATGCGTCTATTTATAAGGTGCTTACATTTTCTTTTCAGATATATTATATACCTTAAACCCTCAACCCTAAACCCTAAATTTTCAGGGTAATAAAGGTGTCCTAGTGAAGGCTGTTGGTATTATGGATGTGAGTCCAGATTCTGCCTTTGAGGTGATATTGAGCCTTGATCGACATCAAAGATATGAGTATGCTAATGTTAAAATAATATATTTTTTTGATGTTACTTGTATTCAAGATTTATTTATTTATCCATATTCCATACATGGAATTCTGATGACATGTATATATGTAGGTGGGATGCATTGACAAGTGATTTGGAGTTAGTAGATTCTATAAGTGGAAATTCTGATGTTGTTTATGGGTCTTATGATCCTAGACATATAAATAGGTACACTGTTATACATAATATATATGAAGTTATGATGTTAAACATATATAACTTGTCACAACATGTTAAAGAACCAATACACATAACATTTGAATTCAAAGACAAACTAAATTATTATATATAACAAAAAGCAACTAGCCTATGATATGAATAGTAAACTTTTGGGTTTTAGACTTCTATAATAGTTTCATATGTTGGTAAGTTTTGTTTCTGTGTAGAAAATAAATTAATAAAGTTGTCCCTTTAATTTACAAAATGATCCCTGTGCATCTTTTTATGTTTGGGTTTTAGATTTTGGCAACAATACTTTTGTATGTTATGATGGTTTGGTGTGTAGAAAATATATTACAAAAACTCTCCTTGTAATCTACCGGAAAGGTCCCTACATATATATTTTTTTTATAGAAATTGTTCATGTGTTTAAATATTACTCTTTCGTCCATGTGTTTAAAACAATTAGAAAAATAGCCCATGCCTAATTAAAAATTTACAAATTTATCCAATTTGAAACTAGAAACTAAATTCCATCTACAAGTGTCTTGCAAATCCAAATAAAAACCATATTCTAATAATAAACGAAATGTATCAACTGCTTCGACTTCAACAATGATCTAGATATTTAAAGTCATATATATAATACAATTTCATTGATCTTTTTACTAGTTGATTGGTAACAATCAAGCCATGCTTAATAAATAAAATTCTAAGTGCGAATGTTGTAAATTCATTATATTTTTTTACATCAACATACTTTGCCATTATATATTATTAGCATCAACTCGGGTGTTATTCTTGTAGGTGGAAATGTAAGCGCGATTTCATATTCTCGAGGCAATGGTTTCGTGATCAAGATGGAGCATACAGTAAGTAAAATTTTCTTTACTTTTTATGGTAAGTAAAAAGTAAATGATCTTAAAGAAATTATTTGAGGAAATCGAAGAAAAAATATAAATGCCAGCAAATTTATAAAAAAAGGATATATAAAATTATAAATGCAATATTCTCTAATTACTGAGTTTTAAACTTATGTTGCAGCAATCTTACACTTCCCTGCAGTACATAAAAAGAAACCTCCACGATCAGGATATCAGCGAACAAAAGTCAGCCGTAAGAAACTTATTATTATTATTATTATTATTATTATTATTATTATTATTATTTCACAGAAATTGACAAAAAGGAACTTTATATCATATCTATCTACCATTTACAAAGGTGAATTCGGTTTTTATTATTAATGGATTTTGAAATTTTCATCAGCATCAACTTGGGAGATCAAGAACTTAACAACAAATGTGCCTTCAAATGGTGGTAGATGTCTCGTAACACATATGTTAGAGGTACATTCTAGAAGCTGGTCGAAATGGAAGAATAATCAATCTTCAAAGTTTGAAAAGACGATTCCCTATGCCTTATTGAACCAAGCATCGGGTAAGTATTTTTTTAATTTCTCACATCGATAATCTCAACAACTTATAATTATACAACCGAAATGTCCATTGATAATTGATTTTAGGTTGAATTAATTAATTTTGTATTATGTGTCTTTCAGGTTTAAAGTCGTACCTTGACACAAAGTATGTACCCAATGCAAAGCCTGAAGAACCCAAACATGAATCATCATCATCATCATCAACATCATCCACCACAGTTTCACAAAATGAAGTTTCGTCACCCACTAGTGAATATGAAGAAGATGAAATTGCTGATCAATTTTATGATGCGATTTCCGCTTACTCATCATCAGATGATGATGATAGTGATTATGATGATGCTCCACTTGACACCAAGGTTTACTTTTTTTTTTTTTTCCTTTCTTCAAGCTTTCTTCAATTTCTACAAAAACGTACTCATTTAATATATTTGACTAATTCTATTTTTTTTTTTAAATTTTACAAGGGATCGAGTATTATGTTGCAGACAGCTTCCTTCTCGAATCCAAATAGGGTCCCAGGTGCCAATTTCATTTCGGATCATTTTTTTTTAGATTAAATTTTAATCTTATCCAAATAAATTATGCTATACATTAGTTGTTAAGTGGTGACTCGAAATCCTAAATTTTAACTTTTGACTCGACTCGTAAGAGTCATGACACTAAAAATTATATATAACATCATGTGTAAACAAAATATAAGCCCAATATTTAAGCACATTTACTAATATGTTACAAATTCATTAGTTAGGGTCATACATGTCATAAAGTATCAAAAAATAACTAGTGATTTATTAACAAAGCAAATAACAAAAAGACTTAGTGTGTTTGAATCATAAAATTTAACTTCAGGATAAAGTGGTCATCATCATCCTCATCTTCAACCATTATTGTCTCATGGAAACCAATATCATCTAAGTCTCATCTAAGTGAACAAGTTGGCTTTTAGCTTTGTCTTTAACATTAGGCACTTTGCTCAAGTTCATTGGTCCTACAAACAAGTAAAGCTTGTATTTATTAAACTTGATACTTATTAATATTATAATATATAATTATCCATTTGTATAATTTACCTCTTTTCCTTTTATTAGTACCAGTTTCTTCATCCTCTTTAAACCTTTATGAACATCCATCCATGAGATATCTTCGGAGAGACATACATCCTCCTTTTCGATAATCCATTCATCATCCACCTCCATGTCCGACAAACATATTGGATCATGGGTCTCCCCTCTTTCTTTTCTCTTTTGAAGTCGTATATCAAGGTTGACGTTATATTTCACAAACACCAATGCATTCAACCTTTGTTGCTCCAAACAGTTCCTCTTTTTGGAGTGTATATGGTCAAAAGTGCTCCGGTTTTCTCTCACATCTGGTGGCACTACATGTGAGGCTCAAGACACACGAATAACAAGATGTTGAAGTTCAGGGCACTCGTCTCCATAACTTAACCACCATTTAGCTAGAATTTAATGAAACAAATGAAGTCGTATATCAAGGTTGACGTTATATTTCACAAACACCAATGCATTCAACCTTTGTTGCTCCAAACAGTTCCTCTTTTGGGAGTGTATATGGTCAAAAGTGCTCCGGTTTTCTCTCACATCCGGTGGCACTACATGTGAGGCTCAAGACACACAAATAACAAGATGTTGAAGTTCAGGGCACTTGTCTCCATAACTTAACCACCATTTAGCTACAATTTATTGAAACAAATGAGTAATAAGTAATAATGTAATTATTATATATTTTATCAGGTTATGTTTTTCCTAAAATTCACCAGGTTGCATTTTCTTTCTTATTAGCACGGCTGCGGATATCCCAAACATCACGATGCTCTCATTGAACTTTACAAGTTGTTCATGAATTGTCACCATTGTTGGCCTATCATACATCCTTTCAATGACATCATTCAATCTGCATTTAACTTCTTTATCGGCATTAAAGTTCTCCTCGAAATGAAGACTAACTCAAATATGTTTAAAAAACAAAATATTTTGAAAGTACCCACGGGGACTGCTTTTGTCCCAGAAAATTCGAATCTTTGCGATAAAAAAAACTGATGCAACAAATTTATTCACATTCATTCCCATAATCTTATACAAAAAACTGAAAAAGAAGAAAGAAACCTTACTTGTTAAGTGATTGTGAAGTGATGAAGGAGTGAAGGAGAATCGCAGGAAAAGTGAAGAAGAAGAATCGCAGGAAAAGTGAAGAAGAATCACAGGAAAGGTAAAGAAGAAGAAGTTTTAGGAAATGAAGAATGTTAGGAAAAAAGAAAAAGCAGACAAGAAGTGCAGTTTAAGAAAAGAAAAAGCGGACATGAAGTTCAATTTAAGAAAAGAAAGTAAGGCACAGGATAATAGCCTTAACTACTGGATAATAACTTTAACCTTCGGATAAACGAAAGTAAGGCACAGGTTTCATGACTCGTCCGATTTACGAGCCAACTCGACTCGGTCCGAGTCAATACTTGAACCGGAAATTTTTTACGAGTTAGACAAAAAACGAGTCACCTTACGAGTTGAATCGTTTTGGGTATCAAATGGCTCGTCTCGTACGAGTCAACTCGTGACTCGTACGAGTTTAACAACTATGATGCTATATATTAAAACCAATTGGTTTATGAATAGTATACTTTTGTCTTTTCATACTTTGGCCACAAGCAAAAGTTTCTTATTTTACACTTTAACCACAAATGACCTTACCAATAAGTTTAGAAAATTAGCACCTTTGGTCTTTTGTGTGGAATGTTCATTTTGACCACAACACTTTTGTATGTTGACAGTTTTGGTCCTTGTGTACAAAATGAATTACAAAAAATGTCCCTGTAATTTACAGAAAAGGTCCCTGTGCAGTTTTTCTTGCAGAAACGGTCCATGTGTTTAAGACTTTCGTACGTTGGCAGGTTTAGTCTCTATGTAGAAAATAAATTACAAAAATTGTCTATGTACATTACATAAAAGGTCCTTGTGCATTATTATTTTTTTTACAGAAACAGTCCACGTGTTTAAAAAATTACAAAAATGGTCCCTACCTAATAGAAAATTTACAAATTATGCCTAGTTATATATAATAATATAATCATTTTCTTTAATTTGATCAGATCCGTGTGCTGATGGTGAATTAGATCCACTTTCATCTCCAATTACAGTTGATCCTAGTCAACTTCCTGGATCTATGTCTGAAGGGAAGAGTGAAAGTGACACAAATTGTTGGACATCTCCAAATGGGAAAGGGTTTATGATAAGAGGAAAGACATACTTGCAAAATAATGCTAAGGTGAAACTTTACCTCTCATTAGTCTTGTCATGTTAGGGGTAGATATGTAATTTCACATTTTTCAAAAATCTGTTTCAGGTAGCTGGAGGGAATCCCCTTTTGAGACTCGTAGCAGTTGATTGGTTTAAAGTTGACAATCCGGTAGGCAAGGTTGCTTTGCATCCCAAATGCCTTGTCCAGGTATCTTTCCATATATAGAAAGGGTAAAATGGTAAAAATACAACTCCAAAACTAATATAGTTTCCATTTTCTTGTTACAGTCGGATGCCGGGAAAAAACTTCCATTTGTTCTGGTCATGAACTTGCAAGTATGAGTTAAGCTTTAACTGAAGTATAAACACATCCCGTATGATGTAAAATGACCATATTGCCCTTCCTTGGAAACACTTTTAATCTAAGATTATTTATCTACCGTTTATTTTATCAGGGCATTTAAGACTTTTTGCTAATAGTGAAAACCCTGGTTTTTCTTTTCAGGTGCCAGCTAAGCCAAATTACAGCCTAGTTCTCTACTTTGCTGCTGATAGGCCAATAGCCAAAGACTCTTTGCTGGAAAGATTTATTAATGGAACAAACACTTTTCGTGATTCAAGATTCAAATTGATTCCAAGCATTGTCGATGTATTTTTTTTATCTTTTTTTTTTTTTTTTGTTAGGGTTTTTTAAATATATGATGTTGAATGATAATTTTGTTTAACAGGGGTATTGGATGGTCAAACGTGCAGTTGGATCAAAAGCTTGCCTATTAGGGAAAGCTGTAACATGCAATTATCTAAGACAAGATAATTTTTTGGAGGTAAATATCTAAATTACCCTTCACTAATTATAAAAAGGCTAAATCTTGTGGATGAGAATTAGTTTTAAAAAAAAGGTCTTACTAACAATGAAATTGGGAAAATCTTGTTGACTTCGAATGTGTCAAACGTGACTATGCATAAGGGCAATTTGGTAAATTTCTTTTTGCAGATTGATGTGGATGTTGGTTCCTCATCGGTTGCAAGGAGTGTCGTTGGCATCGTTCTTGGATATGTAACAGGCATCGTGGTTGATCTTGCCATCTTAATAGAGGTCTTTTGTTAAATACCTAAAATACCCTTCAAATTTTTCAACTTTTGTTGGAAATATTTGCATCATAAAATGATAAACCCCAGAAGCCGTTGCTTCCCATACACAAAAATTACGATTTTACCCTTTATATTGAAAACTTGTGATTCGTAATCTTTCGTTTATAAATTTCAGGGTAAGGAACAAGCAGAACTTCCAGAGTACATTCTTGGAACTGTACGATTAAATAGAGTGAGGCTTGAGTCTGCTGTTCCTCTTGAAAGTTAAGGGGTAATTTTGGTATTTATGATTCTACTCTATTGCCTAGAGATATCCATTATTGAACTTATTAAACTGTAAAGATTATTGATATATTCATTAATTTATCAAACTTAGGTGCTGCTTAGTACACTACATTCTTTTATTTGTTTTTTTTTTGTCCTTAAGTGTGGTCATTTTCGTGAATTATTTATTAAAGTTGTTTGTTTTGAAATACAAACTTCTAATGTACAAAAAAAAAAAAAAAAAAAAAAGCAAGCAGTTTAGACTTTAGATGGTTAAACTGAACAAATTCCAAACTAAAATGTTTTATATAAAATAAAAAGCTATAAACATTGTTTAAAAAAAAATCAAAATCTCACTGATTTTTGTTTATGAGATATATGAAAAATCTCAAATGTTTTATTCTATCAGAAAAATATATTTGTGATGGTTAAACCAAAAAAATTTTAAACTAAAATAGTTTTTATGAAATTTGATCTTATTCTAACGGTCAAATTCAATTATATAAATAATAACATAAAAGTTATCATTGCACCGGTTTACCATTTTGAAAAATCGGTTATTGTTTTCTTTGTTATTGTGCAGTGATATACAGGAGATTGATATTAGAGAAAAGGGGAAATTTTGATCCACGAATATTGTCTTTCTTTTCTTTTTTTCTTTTTTTTTTTTAACTTTAATTTTCCTAAAAAGAAGTGATTATGGATTTCTTTGTCTTGCCCCAAAGCCCCACGGTGGGTGACTGTCTTTTTCAGTTTGTCATGAAAGTGCTAGTTCGTGTTTATAGTATTATAAGACCGTTAAAGTGTCAATCCTATCATCAAATTATTTTGGTGTCAATAATCGAGTTATGAGATTTTTAATTCACTTAATTTAATGGATAAACCATCAATTTGTTTATATAAATAATGAAGAAGATATAAAATTTTAATGGATATTCAAAAAAATGACCACTAGAAATGAAAGATTTGATCAAATAACAAATTTATTTGTGATTTTTAAAAATAATGTTTTTGTCCAAAATATGTCATTCTCAACAACTGTTTTGTATTTCAAAGTAGAACATTTGGATTCTGAACTTTCATTTTTTTGTATTTTAAAGTATGGAACATTAGAATTCTGGACCATCATTTTTTTTGGTCATAAATGTTTAAAAGCATTATTTTAATGTTAATATAGAAATCCAATCATCAACTTTTACGTTGTTAGGCTGGACGGTATAACTACGGGATGGGTGAAAGAAAGCGGGAACCAAACTCGGTAACACTACATCCTGGGTGCGGTTTAGAGGTGAGGGGTATCCTCCCCGCGTTCTTTCGCCTCTCCTGATTGGACAACAACTTGCTTTTTTTCTTTTTCAAAATTTTAATTATTTATTATCATTATTATTATTATTATTATTATTAAAAAAATATTAAGAAAATATATACTAAAATTCATGGTTTTTAATTCTCTACAAAACGAGTATAATATTTGTATAGTATATATATTTTTTTAAATAAAAAATGAAAGGTGGTGAAAGCTGACCATTTCATGGTTTTTGGTAGGGGTGGCAAATCGGATCATCGTGTAGTGTTTTTGTCTGAAACGACACGACACAACAAGATTTTATGTAACACAAACACGACACGATGTCGTGTTTTTTTTTTAACTAACACGAAAACGAACCAATTAAAAAATGACAAACACAACATGACACGAAAAAGATAACATAAAATAACAATTAGTTTATTTAATTAATATTTAATCATACTTAACACGACAAACACGAAAAACACGACAAATACTGTAACATCCTGTTTCCTGTCATTTCTGGGTCGTGGGTCGGAACTCGATTGTGTAAGGTTTTAAGCCTTAAGGAGGCAAATTTTAGTCCTTGTGGAAGGATGTAAGGTTGGTTAAGAGATTTAACCCTTGAATTGTGTTTTAGGTCGAAGGGTAGAAAGGGAAAAGTCATAGGCCGGGTTCTTGCATGAAATATGGATTTTTGTTCGAGAAGTTTCTAGTCCAAGATAGCTAGATGATATTGTATAGCTCTTCAATACATTTCTGTGGATATAAAGATCGTCGAAAACGGAGTTGAAACAAAGAAGTTATGACTGTTCGAAGTTGGCAAGGATTTGGGGGAAATCTGAGCTCACAACGTGAGCAATTGGAGCTCACGACGGGAGAAGCGATTAAATAGAATTGTTGATTTTAACGGTGATCACGACGTGAGCATTAGGGGCTCACGACATGAGAACTGTGCAGCCCAAGCCCATAAAGTTTTAGGGTTTTCAACATATATAAGGGTTGGTTCCATGTTTTTAGGGCATTTTATGAGCCTCCATCATGTCTATATCATCTTGAGAGAAACCCTAGCCTCCCTTTCACCATTTTTCGCCTCCCCTCTCCTCTTCCATCCGTTTATGAAGATTTTGGTGCATTTCTAGCTTGAAGAAGAAGAGAAGAAGAAGAAAGAAGTACTCTAGTGGTGGGATGGGCAAAGTATCATCATCATCACCATCTTTTCCTGCTTTTGGACATTTGTAAGTATCAAATGCTCCAACTTTATTGCTTATTATGGATAGATTTAGAGTTTTGTCCATCATATTCATGTTACTGCATGCTTGAGTGAAGTAAATCCATAAAGTTAGCAACTGTATGGATTCTAAGAGTCCCTAGACCATGATATTATTCAGATCTGAAAGATGGTGTGGATTTGAGGCATGTATGAAAGATTGAAGCTCATTTCTTCACTTTTGACCTAGAAAGAGGTTGGATGATGCATGGTGCATGCATGACCATAAAGGAAACATTTTTATGGACCTTAGGAGTCCCCTTTATCTTCTAGATGAAATGGGTTCAAGGACTTAATGGATTAAGAACTTAAAATGGTAACCTTTAGCCACAGACAGCGTTCACGGCGTGAGATGCAATATCTCACGACGTGAGATTCTACAACAAAGGAGATGCTACAACAAAGCATTATTCTTTTGAGGTCAATTAATTGAGCAAATGAAGGTTAATTCATGTGGGGATCATGAAAAAGGCTAAACATCCTTTACAATTTACGTATTTGTTTAACCAAGTTTATAGAAATTAAATTTAACATTAATAGTATTTATTAAAACAATGGATCATATGTATTACTCTAATAGTATATTCAATGGTCAATAAATAATAACAAAATAAAATATTCACTCCAACAAATTGGGTTTGTAGGCCATTTTCATAGGATGAGTTATAATAATAGATTGTTAGGTCTGTTTTTTTGGATCGTATTTTTAAACTCAGATACATAAGCCGAAAGCCCTAAATCATAAACCCTTAAACTCTTCACTAAATACCCATTTATCTTTGACTCGCCGAATATCAAATAAAAAATTGATTAAGTTCAGCCAAATAAATTGATTTTTTTTCGAAAACAATTGAATTAAGTATTTGATTTATTATGTAATCTAATAAGTTTTAAAAAAAATTTATAGTAACTATTAAAAGTATGTTGTAATATACGAAAAGATAGAAAAATTGTATTTCAAAATTTCTATTATCAAATTAAAGTATTTATGCGCAATAAAGATCTAAAAGTGAAATATTTCTAAACAATTTAAATTATAAAAATTATAATCTAATTAGAAGTGTATATCTTTTTACACGATGATAAAAAGAGTCTCATGCTCCTAAAATTTTGTTTCTAACCCTCATCTTTTAAATGTTAGGTTATTTTTTGAATAACTCAAAAGAACAATATATGTTTATTTTCAGGCAACAATGTACATTTATATGTTTAATTCTTATTGATTTTGTTTCCACTATCTTTTATTTTTAATTGTTTAGATGTAGTATATTATTTGTGTAATTGTTTTTGAAAACTAATTTCTGAAAGAAATTATTGGCACCCGTCATTTATCGCGG